TGATGACAATTTCAGGGAATGAATTTTTGGAGGGTCGTTCTTGGTGAACGGAATTGACATAAAGCCGCCTGATATTGTCTTTATTGCCCCTGATAGTAGGGTCGCCTCCTGAGAAGCCGCCTGAAATTGTGTAGACGACTGCATCATCTGTATCGGAACTATCGGCTTGTTGATTCTTTTTGGCCGACTGCTTATTTTTTAAGGAAGTATTCCCCTTAGACTTCTTGACATAAGATTCAAGGTCGCCTTGTTCAGCCAGGCGGTCTAGATATCGCATGAGACTTATGCATTCGTTGGTTTCATGACCAACGTCTTCATGATAATGGCAGAATTTATCTTGGTTCCGATTGCTCGCAGAACCCTTCATGGGGGCCGGCTTCTCGATTAAGATCCGACCCTTGATTTCTTTGAGGATAGCTTGACTATCCTTGCTGAACGCATACTTTGGAGAGTATGGTTTGAACTCTTTCTTCTTCTTCTGGGCCGGCTGTTTAGAGGAATCGACCGCCGAGACCTCTTTCTCTTTTTATCATCTTTATTGGCCGACTGCTTTGGTCGGCCTTCTTTTTTGTCGGACCTCCTTCCGTCCAACTGCTTTCCAGTACTACAGAGATCAGTCGCCTGTATATAGGCTTCTGCTTCAATTAAGGCTTCTTGAAGAGTCGCAACCCTCTTTCGAACCAAGTCAAACTTGAAGGTCGACCCGACCTTGAGACCTCTGAAAAAGTCAGTATAGGCCACCTCATCCGGTAGCCCTTGAATCTGTATCCTCATCAGGTTGAACCGCCTGATGTATGAACGGAGCCCCTCCTTCTCGCCCTGCTGAATCGTCCCTAAATCAAGAGTCGTCTTCTTTGCAGGAATGTTCATGGCGAAGTTAGAGGTGAATAAGTAAGCAAGCGTCCTGAAGTTGTTCACACAACCAGTCGGTAGGTTGCTGAACCATTGCTGCGCGATTCCTTTGAGAGTCGCTGGGAAACACTTGCACCAAGTGGGATCATCCAACCCTTGGAGATACATTAGGTTGGTGAACGCCATCAGATGGTCTTCAGGGTTAGTGGTGCCGTTATAGGCGCCTACTAACACATTTTTAACTTTGGCTGGCTGAGCGGCTTCAGTAATCTCCTTGGAGAAAGCCGACGGCTGTCCTCCAAGTCTCAGCAACCGTAGTTGCCAGTCCAAAGGCTGGACATTTTTTGCCGCATGTCCTCCAAATAGAGGTGGCTGCAGAAAATATTGTTGTTGCGGTACAAATGGTAAGTTTGGTACCACTTGGTCGTTATGAAATCCTGACCGACGGGAGGTGCCATCTGTCTGAATCTCATGATTTAACTGAGTATACCTCATAGAGGTATTGTGCAAACTATCTTGGAAATCTGAAGTGGAGGCTGACTCTGACAGTCGGTCGTTCTTCTTCTGCTCTAGCAGTAGCAGAGCGTCTGAGTATGTTTTCTTTGACCCGTCCGCCTGTATATGATGAACGGGCTTCCTCTTCCCTGGTGTAGGAAAACGGTACTTCGTGAAGTCAAGCACAGGCGGCTCCCACTTCCTAGAGTTGGGATGCGGGGTCGCCTCTCGTCCTTGAACAGGTTTCCTTCTTCCTAAATGGGAAGGCTTTTTAGCCGACTGCTCCTTAGACAGAGCAGGCATCTTCTTGTTGATCAGTTCCTGGATCTCCCCCTTGAAGCCCCTCATGAAGGTCATGAGTTTGTTTCCTGTAATGGGAGCAGATCCTTCAGCCGCCTGTTGCTGATCAGGCGGTGTGCCGACTAGATCACTGAGTCCAGTTTGATGATCTACCCGTTCTCTCCGTTCGGTGTGACGGGTACGTCGGGCCCTTAAGGTCCCGTCTGAGGCTATGCGTGCTTCAACTTCAACCTCATTTTCGGTATCATGATCTGAATGAACTTGAGGGTCGTCCAGGGGACGCCTCTCTTCTGGAGTCGGTACAGACGTAGATGCCATTTCAAAAGTACTCTCCCCACAGACGGCGCCAAAATGTTTCGGGGTTTTTGATGTCCTGCGGGAGAGTTACAATTCTGAGACTGGAACCGGACGCCTGTACCTGCAAAACAAACGGAGACTCCGAGTGATTGGAGTTTCGCCTCCAACGGTCAAGTTAGTACTTGTTTAAGGAGTAATTAATGCGGAAAAGCGTAAATGAGTCTCTCTAAGTGATAGTGTTTAATGTGTGTAATCCCCGTTAAATGAGGATTAATGAAGGTATTTATAACCTTGGGAAGCGTGCCAATACCTAGGTTTAGGTTAAACCTAAGGCTGACTGGGCTTTCCCCAAGGATTGGGCCTTGGTGGCCGGTTGTCCCATGTGTCATGGGGTGGACACGTGTCGTGTCGTAATTGGCCCATGGTGGACAGATCATTGCTTGACACGTGGCAGGCTCCTATTGGCCCATGTGGAGGGCACATGGCGGAACCTGGTTGGTCCACTTGTCAGATGGTGATTGGTGGGGAAAAATCCCCTAATCAGAAGCCGTTCTCTCCTCCAGACTCCTTATCTTCCTTTTTCTCTCCTCTATTCCTATTGTCCTCCATTACCGCTTCTTCTATTCGTTCTCTCTATCACTTTTCTTATAAAGAGTCGAACAAAGAAAAATCATTTTTCATTGAAAATAATTCATTTGGTTAAAACGTGATTAAATAAATCAATGGTTAAAACATGTTTTAAATACCATGAAAAAAATATATATGGTGTGATTGTGTAAATTGTGAGATTAAATGAGTATTTTGTATCGAGAATATACAAAGTTAATTGTTTCATGTGAGTTTATTTAATAGAAATAGAATATACCGCCACTTTCAATTGGCTTTCTTGGATTGGTATGGGTATGACTTTTGAGTTATGACTTCTGAATTTCTGATGATATGATTCATAAGAATCTCTACAACAAAGCTACCAAGATGTATAAATTCCCAAATACAGAGACAGAAGGCCCCATAAAGTCGACGCCCCGAACATCAAAAGGCTCAACTTCCAAAATGTTTTGTTGAGGCATTTCATCTCTTTTGGTTATGCCACCACTTTTTTGGCACTTGTCGCATCTTGAAACAAACCTTTGGGCATCCTTATGCATCGTCGGCCACCATAGGAGAGATTGAGAAATCTTTGCCACCGTCTTATCAACTCCCCCATGTCCTCCACATGGCAACGAGTGGCAATGCTCAAGAACTCCTTCGATTTCATGGTTCGGAACACATTTTCGGTAAAGGCCATCTCCACACTGTTTAAAAAAGTAGAGGTCATTCCAAAAGTACCTCCTTGAAAAACCTCTTCTTTTGTTGAGAAGAAAACTCCAGGGGAATGACCCCGCAAGCAAGATAATTAGCTATATTCGCATACCATGGGCTAGATGTTGAAGCCAAAGCCATGAGAGTTTCAAATCCTACTTCTTCATTGATTGGTACATCCTCCTTGTTCTCAAAAGGAAGCCTAGACAAATGATCCGCCACATAGTTCTCCGTTCCCTTTTTATCTCTCATCTCCATGTCTAAATCTTGAAGCGAAAGAACCTAACGGATGAGGCGTGGCTTTGCTTCCTTTTTGGTCATAAGATAGTGAACCGCTATGTGATCCGTGTACACAATAACCTTGGAGCAAGTAAGATAGGACCTAATTTGTTTATGGCAAACACAACCAAAAGCATTTCCTTCTCCGTCGTTGTGTAATTTTTTGAGCTTCATCAAGTGTTCTACTTGCATAGTAGATGACATGAGATCTTCCTTCTTTCTTTTGCCCAAGCACCCCACCTACTGCAAAATCACTCGGATCGCACATTAGCGCAAAAGGCAAGCTCCAATCCGGAGTTTTTGAAATGCCTCAAGAGAAGCCTCATCAAAGCTAAACACAACATCTTTCTTGAGTAATTCGGTCAATGGTTTGGCGATTGATGAAATTTTTTTGATAAACCTCCGGTAAAAAATGGCATGCCCTAGAAAAGATCTTACTCCCGTAACAGAAGTAGGAGTGGGCAACTTTGCAATCACCGAAACTTTGGCCGAGTCAACCTCAATGCCTTTCTTTGACACTTTATGGCCTAGGAAAATTCCCTCCTCAACCATAAAGTGAAATTTCTCCTAATTTAAAACTAAATCGTCTCTTGACACTTTTCCAAAACTTTTTCAAGATTATAAAGACAAGTGTGAAAAGACGAGCCACCAACACTAAAATCGTCCATAAAAACTTCAATCTCATTTTCAAGCATTTCCGAAAAAATGGAAGTCATGCATCGTTAGAATGTTGAAGGAGCATTGCATAACCCAAATGGCATTCTTCGGTACGCAAATGTTCCATATGGACATGTGAAAGTAGTTTTCTCTTGGTCATTTAAGTGGATAGGGATTTGTAAAAATCCAGAATATCCATCCAAGAAACAAAAGAAAGCATGGTGAGAAAGTCTCTCCAACACTTGGTCCATGAAGGGGAGAGGAAAATGGCCTTTCTTTGTGTTTTTGTCTAACTTCCTATAATCAATACACATTCTCCACCTGGTCACCATCCAAATGGAGATTTCCTTTCCTCCTTCTCCCTTGACAATGGTCATTCCACCTTTCTTTGGAACCATGTGAAACGGGCTAACCCACTTACTATCGGAGATAGCATATATTATGCCCGCTTCACGCAATTCAAGATTTCCTTCTTGACAAGCTCTTGGAGGTTGGGGTTCAACCTCCTTTTAGGTTCAATCGAGGTGGATTGATCATCCTCTAGATGAATACGATCCATGCACAAAGAAGGGATAATACCCTTGATATCATCAATGCTATACCCTATCACATTTCTATATTTTCTCAACACAACAAGCAATTTTTCCACATCAAGACCATTAAGGGTAGCATTAACGATAATAGGGTATTCCCCTTCATATCCAAGATAAGCATATTTCAAAGAGGGGGGAAGGGGTTTGAGTTCTACCTTGGGAGGAGGCTTGGAACTCTCCTCCATTTCCACCTCTAGTTCAAGCTCTTCTTTATCTTCTTGTTGTTCATAGTCTTCTTCCATGGCGATGACAAAATCCTTTGCTTCTTGAGAGTGATACTTCCTTGCATGTAAGAGCTTCAACCATTGGATCTTGAGGCTTCATCATAACCCTTCCCAAGCAATTTAACTCCTCATTCACAACATCAGCCCTATAGCATTTTTCAACCATGGGGGTCTTGAGCAACTTAGAGAACTCAAACACAATCTTTTCATCAGCAACCTCACATGTAATGGTGTTGTTCTTGCAATTGATCACCGCCCCCAAAGTCTTAAGAGCTTCACGACCCAAAATCAAAGGAGTATCGACATCTTCTTCCATATCCATCACTACAAAATCGCAAGGGTACATAAATATGCCCAACTTGAATGAGAACGTCTTCAAGCTCACCACAAGGTAACTTCACCGAACGGTCGGCCAATTGGATAGTCTTCCTTGTAGGTATCATTTCAACAAGATTTTGGGCAATGGATACAGGAATCAAACTAACACTTGCTCCAAGATTGGCTAAGGCGCCCCTAACTTCCATGTTCCCAATCTTTACCGGCAAAGTGAAACTTCCCGGATCCTTTTGCTTCTTAGGCATCTTATGTTGAACAAGTGCACTCACTTGATGGGGGAGATTGATGAGCTCATTATTGAGCTTCCTCTTGTTGGTGAGAATATCCTTGAGGAACTTGGAGTATGAAGGCATTTGTGTGACAACTTCGATGAAAGGTAGGTTGATGTGAAAATTCTTCATCACACTAAGGAACTTTGCAAACTTGTCATTCAATTTCCTCTCCGCAAGTCGACAGGGAAATGGAACCGGCCCATCAAGATTCCTAGCCTCACTAGGAGTTGAAGTTATTTTCTCACCTCTAAGCTTCTTCTTCTCCATAATTTTTTATTTCTCAACAACCTTCTCTTCCTCAACTTCCTTGTCTTCACCCACACTCTCTTCTCCTTCCTTCTTTTCCTCACTATCCCCCTTCCAAGGACCCTCATAGGATGTGCTCAATCTCAATGTGATTGCCTTGCAAGAGTCGGGTTTCATGATGTTGGAAGGGTTAGTTTGTGATTGTCCGGGTAGAGTAGAAGGTGAGTTGAAAGGGACTCTCTCGGCCAATTGAGCTAATTGTGAATCAACCATCTTGTTATGAGCCTTGACCTCTTGCATTTGTTGATTCATGGCTTGAAGTTGTTGAAGAATCTGGGTTTGTGTCGAATTGGGTTGAGATGCTTGCTCTTGGCTCCTTTGAGACGCTTGATTTTGATTGTTGTATTGGTTTTGATTATTGTGTTGGTTGTTTCTTGGGTAGTTTCCTCTTGGGTTTTGATTTTGAAATGGAGGTGGGTTTTGGTATGGAGGGTTGGAGTTGTATGATTGTTTAGCTTGTTGGTTCCATTGTTGAGGTTGATTTGCAAATCCGGGTGGTGGTTGCCTCTAAGCTACTCCACCGCCACTTCCCTTATATCCATCTTGCCTTCTGTTATATGCCGCCACATGCTCGGGGTTTAAACCTCCACAAAAAGATGTATCGTGGTTTGTTCCACCACAATTTTGACAAGAGAAAGATTTGACTTGAGAGGACCTTGCCCACTATTGACACTCGTATTCAACTTTGCAATCCCTTTTGACAAAAGCTTAATTTGATGCTGCAATTGATCAACCTTCTCCAATTCATACTTTCCACCCTTTTTTGGTGCATTCCTCCTTCTACCACCCCAAGAGTAGTTCTTCACTAGCTCTTCAATTGTTGATTCAACTTGATTTTGGGGGACCTTAATCAATTGGCCACTCGCCCCCGCATCCAAGTTAGCTCTAGACATAGGTTCCAATCCATCATAGAAGAGTCGCATGAGCAAGCTTTGATTGTAATCATGGTGAGGACATGCTTGCACCAACTCTTTGAATCTCTCCCAAGCTTCACTAAGACTCTCATCCGCTTCTTGTTCAAATGATGCAATCTTCCTTCTCATTTTGGCGGTCTTTTCTTCGGAAATGAACCTCTTTAAGAATGCCTTGACTATCTCTCTCCATGTTGTAAGAGAGTTTGGCTTGACTTCTTTAAGCCACTTCTTTGCCCTACCCGAAATAGATTGTCGAAATAAGTGCATACAGATGTATTCTTGAGAAACTTGATTGGTTTGGATCATGGCACAAAGCTCAAGGAATCTATCAAGGTGCTCGATAGGAAAGCCGCCTTTTCCCTGATGATTGGGAGTGCCACGTGTCAGCATGTGATTGGTCCTTTTTGGACCTCTCTTAGGGTGACACGTGTCCTCTTCTGATTAGGCCACACGGATTGGGTATTTTTCTCCAAATCACTACTACTCATTCTTCATCACTTCCTAAATCAATTCATAGTTTCTCTGCCATTTAAGCTTCTATAAAGGAACAAAGCTGTGGAATGGAAGCTGATCGAATCAGTAACTTGCCACTAGATTTAACACATAAGATCTTACAATGTTTACCACTGCAAGAAGCCGCTAAGAAAAGCGTGTTGTCGCAACATTGGAGGTTTAAATTGGCCTCCATTCCACATCTTATACTTAGTGTGCCATTCTTTTATAGTATTCAAAAGGGAAGAAATGATCCTGCAGTCATTTCATCGACTTACTTAGATGCTGTCAACAATATACATCTTAGTCGCATTGGACCGATATCTAAGTTTATGTTTTATGTTCCCTCTTAGTTCCCAGGAGAAACATACAAGTGGATACAGAATGTTTATGCTAATGATGTCAAAGAGTTCACTCTGGAGTTTATCTTCCTCGAAAAGAATTTTCCTACATGTTTGTTTGCTTGTTTGAGCTTGACACATTTGACTCTAATTCGATGCAAACTTGTCTCTCTTCCTGTATCTTTTACAGGCTTTCCATACTTTATTTATCTTAAGTTTGAAACTTATTACTGTAATATAGACACAAAAGTTGGATCAAATCTTATTTCAAGATGTCCAAAACTAGAGAGCCTCCATCTAATGGTTTTTGAAGCGAAATATTTGACAGTTTACACTCCAAAACTTAAGAGCTTGTTTCTGACAGGCTACCTTTGTAGTCTATGCTTGGAAGGTACGACGGTCATCAAAACACTAGCCCTGGATGTTTACTTAGGTTATGGCTTAAATAAACACTCAGTTGCTTTAGCAACATTAAGAGTCTCGTTCTAAAGGACTCGTTTAGGTGAGTAAGTAAACTGAATTTAAAATTTCAACATCTAGCAGGCTAGCAGCTAAGCATTTCTGATTTCTTCACTCATTACTATTGGATTTGCAAACATTAATTGAACATGAGTCTACTGAAATAGTTCTAAAGAATTGGGATAGTTGCGTGTTAGGTTTTGCGGTGTCTGACACCGCGCAAAAACAAAACCCGATAACCAGATCGCATACATCATAATTACAACATAAATAAAAGCATGCAAAATAAACATAAACATAAGAGAAGGGAGAGAAAGAATGCTCACCCTCGTAGTGTGCTTCTCTCAACCGTTGAGCTCGGACTTAAAAGCTTCAAGATCCACAAGTGCGAGAACCTCTAACGGCTCACACCCTCGCTACCGAACCATAACCGATCCCTACCTCGAAGCTTAGTCGAGGCTAAACCAAAACAACTTAGAGTTAACAAACAAAGGTTTTCTCTCGTATGGAGATCCCTTAAAGTTCACTAACTCAAGCGAAAATCCCAATACCCCATGATGGGTATTTATAGGGAAGTCTCCCCAAGAATTCCCACCATCTTTCAATATAAGATAGTTGGTAAAAAGAAAAAATAAGTTTAAATTTAATTCCAAATTAAATTAAAATGCTAAAACAATCACCAAACGACAATTGGCGCAAGGAGAACAAGGGGTTAGGTGAGGACCACAAGGAAAGACCACCTTTCCTTGCTCCCTAAGACAAACCACCTCACATAGCCATGTGTCGCCAGCTGGCGCCCAGCCTTAGGCACCAAGGCACACCTTACTGGCTTCCTGGTGCTCGGCTAGGCCTGCTAGCCAGCCCACACACATGCACAGCCCAGCTAGCAAGCCTCGCACGCAATGCGGGCTTCTGCACTTTTTGTTGGGCACTGCTATCCTTCAGCAAGGCCCAGCAAGCCTCGGCTGGCTGCTAGCATTACTGGCGCACCACGCATGCATTGCTAGATGGCCTTGCTGCCGCGCCATGCATGCTTGGCCTTGATGGTCGTTGCACGCTAGCAGCCAAGGGCTGGCTTGCGGCAAGGCCTGCTAGCCAAGCCATGCCTTACGGCAGGTGGCTATTACTAGCCTAGCCCTTGCATGGCTAAGCCAATGCGAGGCTACGGCTTAAAGTTCACTTGTCGTTTGGATGATTTTTCTGTCTCGTCTATTACTAAATTCGACGCTTGGTGTCGATGCTCTAAGCTCAAAATCCGACGTCTTAGTTGGTAAAATCTCTATCAACTCATTTAATCCTTTGGATTAATTCGTCTCCTTGGTTCGGTTACACGATTGGGTGTGACCCGAAGGGTTCAATCAAAATTAAGCTGTAATATTAATTATTCATTAATATTACTGATCGGAAGTTGCCTCCAGCTAGGCATTCTGATCACTTGACCTCACTGAATAATTAGATTTCTAATTAATTATGAACCCTCTATTGGAATAATACACTTGTTCGAAGGACACTATTCCTTTTAATCTCGAAGGACAAGTTTTCCGTATGTGTATAGCCTGTTTCCTATCAATTGTTATCTCTTCGTGAACTATAAGGTAAGATTTTTCATCATCATTATTACGTCCAAAAGTGTTTCTCGATTTTCGAGTTCGACTGTCAAGAAGCAGATGATTTCTAAAATCCATCTGAGCACGACCATGCATTTTCACAGTCTCGCTCTTCGAGAGGCCTTTTAAACAACAAAGACATGTTCCCTACTGTTAATTGGGGGACATTCCCAGTCTTGCATTGTAAGCTTCCCTTACTAAGAGGCCCTTATACGGCAGACATTTGACAACATCAAAGCGGACTAGTACTCAAACAAGATAACTAACAATACACATGGTCGAGGAACGAGTTTTCGATAGCCATAATGAGTAATATACTTATGATGATTGTTAAATCTTTTAAAGTATTCTCATAGGTCGATCCAGTATAGTTCCAAACTGATACATATGCAAATGATTTATGACAATTTGTCCTTATAGCACAAGAAACGGTGCTATAAATCATACTACACACTAATCTCATGCAGTCATTAGTTGTCCAACTTTCAAATGACCTCGATTAGGGTTAATTTCGATATGATATTCAACGTTCACTTAATCGGTGTTTCGTTATCCAAGACATGGTCTTGATACCCTTTTGAATGGACTCATTATTTAATTCTAAACCACAATTAAATAGAAATGGAATAATAATTTACAGAAAAATTAAATTACTCCATAAATGAATGGTTTAACATAGTGTTTTAAATCAAGATCTCCACAACTTAATTAAAACACACAAATAGGGAAATCAAAGCCAAACTCCAATATGCCTGATTCCCATTTCCTCAACATGCTTGTTGTGTTTTACTTAAGCCAAAGGTTTAGTGAGTGGATCAGCTACATTGTCGTCCATTCCAATCTTGCAAATTCTGATTTCACCCTCGGACTTCCATTCCCTTATCATGTGAAATCTCTTCATGACATGTTTGACTTTTTGTTGCTCCCTTGGCTCTCTGGCCTAAGCAATAGCCCCAATATTATCACAGTAGAGTTCTATTGGTCCCTTTATTAAGGGACAACACCAAGTTCACCAACAAACTTACGAATCCAAATTACCTCCTTAGCTGCTTCTGAAGCTTCCAAGTATTCGGCTTCAGTTGTAGAATTTGCAATCGTGCTTTACTTAGCACTCTTCCAACTGAACGCTCCTCCATTAAGACAGAACA